TTATGTTTTGGATCATTGTCTTGTTGGAAGACAAATCTCCGTCCCAGTCTCAGGTCTTTTGCAGACTCCATCAGGTTTCCATCCAGAATGGTCCTGTATTTGGCTCCATCCATCTTCCCATCAAGTTTAACCATCTTCCCTGTCCCTGCTGAAGAAAAGCAGGCCCAAACCAGGATGCTGCCACCACCATGTTTGACAGTGGGCATGGTGTGTTCAGGGTGATGAGCTGTGTTGCTTTTACACCAAACATAACGTTTTGCACTGTTGCCAAAATGTTCGATTTTGGTTTCATCTGACCAGAGCACCTTCTTCCACATGTTTGGTGTGTCTCCCAGGTGGCTTGTGGCAAACTTTAAACGACACTTTTTATGGATATCTTTAAGAAATGGCTTTCTTCTTGCCACTCGTCCATAAAGGCCAGATTTGTGCAGTATACGACTGACTGTTGTCCTATGGACAGAGTCTCCCACCTCAGCTGTAGATCGCTGCAGTTCATCCAGAGTGATCATGGGCCTCTTGGCTGCAGCTCTGATCAGTCTTCTCCTTGTATGAGCTGAAAGTTTAGAGGGACGGCCAGGTCTTGGTAGATTTGCAGTGGTCTGATACTCCTTCCATTTCAATATTATCGCTTGCACAGTGCTCCTTGGGATGTTTAAAGCTTGGGAAATCTTTTTGTATCCAAATCCGGCTTTAAACTTCTCCACAACAGTATCTCGGACCTGCCTGGTGTGTTCCTTGTTCTTCATGATGCTCTCTGCGCTTTAAACAGACCTCTGAGACTATCACAGTGCAGGTGCATTTATACGGAGACTTGATTACACACAGGTGGATTCTATTTATCATCATTAGTCATTTAGGTCAACATTGGATCATTCAGAGATCCTCACTGAACTTCTGGAGAGAGTTTGCTGCACTGAAAGTAAAGGGGCTGAATAATTTTGCACGCCCAATTATTCAGTTTTTTATTTGTTAAAAAAGTTTGAAATATCCAATAAATTTCGTTCCACTTCATGATTGTGTCCCACTTGTTGTTGATTCTTCACAAAAAATTACAGTTTTATATCTTTATGTTGGAAGCCTGAAATGTGGCAAAAGGTCGCAAAGTTCAAGGGGGCCAAATACTTTCGCAAGGCACTGTATACAAAATGCTGGCGAAGCTGGGAAGGGGATTTGTTACTACCTCTCCAGCTTTGGAGAAGACCCTTTCACATGGCACAGAAGTTGCTGGCATATGAAGATATCTTTAGGCAAGCTTGTAAAGATTAGGATAAACTGCTGCCCTTGAGTCCCAGTATTTTAATGGAAAAGTAGGGCTCAGCCAAATAACACTGAACTTCCACTGTTGCTTCAGCTATTGCATTTTGAACTCTTGAGTTTCACCAGGAGAAAATCAGAGTAGAAGAAGGTGAAACCCACTGTATGTGGTTTTGTATTTGAATGTTTATGTGCTAATGTGAGTGTATAACTGTATGCCAGTTTATCTAATCTTACGTTAATCCTACCTAAACCTTACTCTCCCTGATTGTCAATCAATGAAACTATAGCAATAATGCAAGCAAAAACTCTCCTCCTCTCAAAAAACCCACGAGTGTAGAGGGATTGTGCCCGTTTATAAGCATTGTGAAAGTTTGATAACTCTGTCCTGTATTCAAAACCGGTGCGATATATTGCTGATATGCGCGTGATGTCATGAAGCTTCATTTGGGGAGTCATGTGATATCTTGCATGGTGAAGCAAGGCATCGAAACATCTTGCCACAATACTTCTGCTTTGAAAGATCGATACTGTGTCGAGCCGTTTGCTTCGAGTATAACATCACTACTGTCAACCTGTGTTTTTTCTGCCTTGGCGATCCTGGTATTGTGTTGTGTGACTTTCCTGGTGCTGTGAACTGAACTACTTGTGTTTTGCTAGAGAAAATCCCCTTGTGCCTTTTTTGTGTATGAACTGTTGCTTCATGTGAACTGAGTCTACTTTTTGTTCCACTGAATCCTGCTGTCTCCTCGCCAGTTCAAGTTTTTTCACAGGTAGATTTGAGTTACCTTTGAGCCTGTGTGAAGTTTATGCTCAGACTGTTCTGATATTGGATGAGGTTCCTCCAGACCCTGACCCAGTTTTCTACAGCATCTTTCCGGGTCTCTGGTGTTTTTGTTCATTTCTTCCACCCACCTGCTATGGAGATCCTGCTGAGCTGTACGGACCTCCACAGTGACTCGGCTACCCAGATGCACTACCCACTTTGGCGGAGAGCTGGGCTGCAGCCGGACAATCCAGTGATCCACGACCCCCACCTTTGGTGGATTCACGCACCGGCCAGCGGTCATCTCATCACCTGCTGCCTTCCTGCACAGCACTGATCCCCATTTACCCGACAAACAATCTCCAGAACCCAGGTTTCTCATCATTATCACTTATATAAAGATTCACTGCTGATCTGCTTCATCATCTGACTCTCCTCCTCTGCTCTATATTCAGTGGTTGTCTCTACCCGCCGACTGACCCGGGTTACTCATCTAGTGGTCCAGGCAATACAGCTCCCAGTCGCCTGTGATCTGTTGGAACATTCACACTTCATCTTATAACTTTCTGTTATTGTCTTCAATTAAAATACTGTAGTGGTCAAACACAAACAAGGTATCAGTCCAGAGGTAATATGTAATAGAATAGTGTGCAGTTCATATATAGATAGGAGGCTGCATAACTGTGAGAAGATAAAAGTTAGGACAGCTGTGGGTTAGAGGAAGGAAGGAGTGATGGTACTGCAGTCATGAGTGTGCGTTTGGACCCGGCCAGGTGGAGAGGGGGCCAACTCCTGACTCTGACAGACGTGACTGTACCTTGTGGCCACAATGACTGACTGACTCTGTGACAATCTCCTTATTTAATACTTTATCTATTCCATTGCAGGAGGAATGATTCTGTTCTCTGTCCCCCAACTACCAGATTGTGGGAGTGTCTCATAACTTATCAACCTGTTCAGAATTAGTGTAATATTAAATGATTATTTAAACTGGGATGATTTGCCTGAATTAATTTAGTTCATATCAGATCCTAACTACTACAATACCTTTTTACCTTGAGCCTGTGTATGAGTCCTGCCTTTACTGGGTCCTCGGTTATCTCTGATGGCTAGCGGTAACTTTAGTATAGATGTCTGATTCTAAATATCGGTATTGACACCGACCCGGGTATATAGCACAGGATCAATTATAAGCCAGAATAAGGCTGATCCTTATTTAGAACTACTGTTCTGTATTTGAACAGTTTCAGTCATGCTCAGTCACCGATCAGAATTGGTATTGGCAGATACCTAATATTAAATTAGTCAGACTGGTATCATGGCCAAAAAGCTGGATCAGGACATCCTTAATCATTGGATACATTATAGTACATACTGATCCATTGGTGCACGAGCAGCATTTTACTGCTGTGGTTGGTTGAAGTGGAGCTAACTTGAACTACTTTCTATAAAGCTGCATCTAATAACTATTTTATTCACTGATCAGTCAACTGACTGTTTTCTCAGTTAATTGTTTGTTTGTGTAAAAACTAGTGAAATGGTGATTAGATTTAGCCTTAGATTTTGTGTTACTTATTTATCTACTTTATATTTCACTTGTATTTTTGTGGCATTCATGTAGACGGCAAAGTAAGAATTACATTGTACAGGGAAACATGTTTCCTAACTGTACATATGACAAATAAACACTTTGACCTTGACCAGAGCCTAAAGAGACATTAATGTAAGACCAGAAAAATACAGCAAATCCTAACAGTTAAGAAAGTGAAACCTTGAGGTGCATGAAAAATGACTTAAACTACTACCTGTGGACATTCTTTTTCTGTCAGTCGACTAATTGTTACAGCTCTAATTCTTTATAGGAGATTTATAACCACTTAGGATTTAGTATGTATTCTTAACTTGTAAAAGATCTACTAACCATAGCTGTCAAATAACTGTTGCGGAGCACAATGTACAAGATTTTCCTCTAGTTTAGTAACAGTAAAAATGGAAATAATGGAATGCAAATGTTCAAGTACCTCAAATTTGTATTTAAGTACAGTACTTGAGTCAGTCTATTTAAATTCCACCGCTGGACAGTACTGTACAACAAGTATAGTTTAAGTATGAACGCTTCTGTATTTCCAAGTGCTGTTACATTAGTATGACAGCATATGTGATTAGATATTCTGCACCTGTTCATACTTGTGTACTACACAGTACACTGTATACATATATCCCAGTCATTTTCTCCTTGTCCTCTCTAGCTGCTGCAGTTCAGAGAAGACAACAAAGAGCAGTTAGACTTGACCACCATGTTTTTTGAGAGAACCTAGACTAACATGAACTGGGTGACCATGAACAAGAAACAGGTGCTTGAATGATTCACCATTGAGGCTTCTTCGCCACTTTAGTAGTCCAAACTCACATGCCAGTTTTCTGATTGTACTACATAGTTTGAATGTTAAGTTTTGACAAAGCCTTTTAGGAATAAAGATTACCGGATACCTACATTTGTTTTTGTAGGTTCTTATCACAGAATTTTTCAGCACAAAAAATGTGATACCATGTTTAGGCATCAATGGAAAAATAGTTTAACATGTAGAGCTTAACCCCTGTCATGTTTACACAGGATAGTTCAGCTGCCACCTCGCTCAGTAGGGGTGCTTCCTTAAAGACTTTAGAGAGGGTGCGTTCCCTGTTTAACACCTCACTGTCATGCTGACAGCTGCACTGTTTGTGTAAGGAAGTGGAGGCAAGCAAGTCTGCATGATTTCATCTGGATAGTTCATAAAATTTGGAATGACAAACATAAGATAAGATAAATATGGTTTATTCTGTTCACATTGTGCAAGGTCAATAAATATACAGTTCTATGTACAAAAAACACACAAAAGGACATAGATATGTTTTGTTTAAATTAACAAAAATGAGTTGTCCATGCATTTTGTTAGAGATCATTGCTGCAATGAAAGTAGTGGATGGCCGGCTATGTCTTTCAGCACTGTCCAGAGAAGGTGACATTTTGGGGTTGCTGCTCTGGCATCCAGTACTCCTCACTGGTGAAGCAAGCTGCACTTGAAACCTGATAACACAAGAGAGATTCTGCTTAGCAGCACACTCAGTGGTAACACTCAGGAGAACCTAAATACAGTCAACTGTAAAACACATCTTCTATTTAAAATGTAAATGTTTTTGAACTTCATGGCCTTGATATGAACATACCTGACATGCATGCTGTAGAGAGGACAGCTGGGCTGTGCTCCCAATGGGGCAGCTTGACTCCTGTGGACTGTAGGTAGCTGTTTGCTGGCCCAGGAACTGGTTAAGAGTCTGGGGCTGCACCACAAAGCCTGAGGACCTCCTCTGCTCCAGCACCTCCTCACTGAGGCCCAGCTGGGCTGATAGGTAAGAGATGTAGTGAATGGTGAGGCGTAATATCTCGATCTTGGTCAGGGTCTGTCCCGCAGGAGCCACTGAGGGTGGGAGGTATGTCCTGAGGTGATGCAGAGCCTTGGTCAGATCCCTCATCCTTAGCTTTTCCCTCTCACTGGCCATCTGGCGTTTCCTCCCTGGATACCTGGAGCGGGATTTCTTTGTGGTGGAGGTTGTTGTGGAGGATTCGGAGCAGGGCAGAGTCTGTGTCTCATGGGTAAGATGAGCTGCTGTACTGCTGCTGAAGATGAAAGACTCCAAAGCATCCTGTTGGATGGAGGTGGGGGAGAAACAGAAGGAGTCCACAGAGGAGGTGGGAGACAGGCTGCTGCTTGCGCTGAAATAACCTGGATCTGAGGCTGGATCATAGGACACGGGCTCATACGATTTCCCCAGCAGGGACTCGCAGTTAAATATGAAAGAGTTCTCTTGCAGAGGACAGCTGTAGGACACCTCCATGGCTGCTGTCATTGCTCTAGTTGTAGCCTCTGCTGTGGTTGTCGGCTCTTCCCTGAGCAGTGAGCTGTCAGTGTGTTGCTGGTACGGCAGTCAGATGATAGTGAGGAGGAACAGGGAGGCTGCTCCATATATGTGGTGGGAGGTGCGAAATTGCACCTCCAGCAGCCACCTCAGATCCTTATACTCTCTGGGACCAGGGCCGGCACCTAGGCTAGGGGGTCCCATGGGAAACAGGCCAGATCCAAGACAAAGTGTGACCTGGTAGCTCACACAGACATCATAAAGTAGACAGATTCACACTACATACTCCTGCAGCCTGGGAACATGACCCTACCATGACAGGCCACAGGACTGCCTCTGAGTGATCTTGTTAAAATCCACTGCGCCACTGGGAACATATACAAAAACATCCCCACAAAATCCCTTGTAAACACACAGATGCTCATAGTATTTTTTGAAATACTGATTGAGTGAAATAATAAGCCCACTGGACTCTCAGGTTAAGGTTCAGTCAAACACAGCATTCAGTACTGTGTTGCGTGCCACTGTGTGCTATGTGCCATTTTATGAAACACTGAAGTTAATTTTGCAGTTTTACATCTCATTAGCAATGCTTTTTCTTTCTGTGCAGGCATCTCACTCCCTGCCAGGTCAGGCTAGAGAAGTGTGCAGCTGTGAGGCATGAGGAGTTTACACCTGGTCCTGTTTGGACAGCAGTAGGCCCCACTGGCCTGGGAACCTACATCTTCATGGAAAGAATGTGCAGCTTCAGTAACTATTATATGCATTATATTCCAGCAAGGTCAAGGGCAAAATAATTATCAGTTTCTGGTTTGCCTACATTGCAAACAATCTGTAATACTAAGATGGGACAGTATATTACGAAGTCCATGTCGCAGTGATGGAAAAATTTTGATATTAGCAAAAAGTGCCAGAAAAATGGGCAATAATAACTATGTTAGGTGGCATTTTGATGAAAGCAATATTTTACCAAAACATTTTTCTGTCAAAAAATGTTTACACTAGCATGTTGTGTCTCACTGCTGACCTTTGAAATACTGTCTCTGGCTCCCAGACTGAAGGTTTTTCTACAGTTGTCCTTTCAAAAAGACCAACAGGTGCATAAATACATATTGCATATGTTTAGTATACCATCTCAGTTGGTGCATGTAAAATTGCATTCAGACAGTTTTATTTGAATGAAGAGAATGTGAACTGAATTCATTGGCACACAACAGGATGACAGCTGATGGGGTTTAGAAGAATTTAGCATTAACAACAGAAGAAATAAAATATAACATGGTCACATAAATTGAATTGGATTCTCTCTGATAAGTCTGTGGATTTGAATGTCAGGTGTTGACTGTGGATCTCAGTCCTGAGCAACGTTCCCACAAACCACTGCATCACATTTGACTCCTGCTAGGCAGCAGAGGTGTAGAGGATATGTGTGGGGACATTAAAACATGTGAAAATGCACATTTAAAAGTGATTAAGGTAAAGCAATGGTTTTTATTTTTCTTGTGCTGGAAGGTGTGAGAGGTGACACCAGTCTTGATAGCTGATTTAAGGACTGGTCCCCACAGCGACCTTTGAACCTCCTCCATCTATACGTGATGTGACGTTAGATGAGTCACTGGAAGCAACAACTCAACATTTATATTTCTTAACATTCCCAGCATTAATCTGTGTTTTGCTACATGCATACAGCTGCCATTTCCCTCCTACCGACCTGTTGCTCTTTAGCATAAAGGTTACTTTAATATAAATACTGAAAAAGTAAGTATCTGTCATCTGGTAAAAAGTCGCTCTCATAAAAAAATAACTGAAAATGCTTATTGCATCTAATTATAGCACTTAAACATTTGGTTAAAGTATTAACATTTGAAGCTTATACAATAGGATCCTTTCAGTTTCATACTAAAAAGATGAGAATATTCATTCTTCTACCAGTGTTTCTACTAGATTTATTTATTTTGGAATAAAGCATTTCTAATTCTAATCCTGTATCCAGTCATCATCTGTTAACAGTTAATTTTTTCTGCTTCATGAATTACCCTGGCTGCCAACTTTCCTTCTCTCTCCCAGGCTGATGATACACACGATCTTCAATCCACATTAGCACTGATAGTATTTACTCACATGTAATGAATGAATAATCAGCACAGCAGTGCTAACCCTTTCATCCTAAACCCTTTTAGCCCAAAGAGTTTATTAGCTTTACTATGATAAAAGACCCAAGGGAGTCTATTAGATTTGGTGTTAGGCCTGTGGCTTGCATATCAAATGAACTGCATGTATGTGGCAACCTATACACTCAGACCCAATTTTCCAGCCTGATATGCAGATCCCTACTTCTCTATGAATATTAAAGCCCTATCCATTGGCTTTAGCAGGTAATTAGGGTTGTAGGTGAGAGAAAGGGGGAAAGAGCAGGGACAATCTTGTATCTTAGTCTAGACTTAGTGGTGCCAAGGACCTCTTTGTGTTTGCTGGGGCCCATTAACAAAGACACACTAAATAAACTAGATAAATTGTGACTGATCTTTGCTTTGCTCTCCCTGCACTACTCCTATGTCACAAGTCTCAGACCGCAGAAGAAATTACTATAATGATTCTGGAAAGCCTTACATTGCCACGACTCACAATTAATAATGTCTTGATGTCACATAATATGTAATCACAATAATATCCACATAAGATTATGTATAGCTTCTGTATGCCATGTTTTAACTGTGACACATAGGTATAATATATATGTAATATATACATCCATCCATCCATTATGTATACTGATATTCCTGAATAGGGTCATGGGGGGCTGGAGCCTATCCTAGCTGACACTGGGCAAGAGGCGGGGTACACCCTGCACAGGTCATCAGTCTATCACAGTGTAATATAATATGATATGCTTTGATATGATATGATATATGATATGATATGCATTATAAATGACATATTTCTTAAGACATTACATGATTTCTCTACACAACAATTTATTTATTTATTTATTTACTTACTTACTGTGTTGCAACAACTTCCATTTTCTGGTAAAATATCTTGACCAGAAGTGACCCACCTTTATCAGATAACTTACAATGAAAATGGTGCCAGAAAATGTGATGACACGCTAAACAGGTTGCTGGATGGAATCTGACCAAGGACAGTGCAGCTACTTGGTATAAGGACAAATTAAAAGAAAAACATGAATAAATAAGAGGCCTCTTCCAGGATGACAGTGCCCCAATTTAGAACACGAGGGGTCACTGAATGGTTTGATGAGTATGAAAACGATGTGAATCATATTCTGTGCCCTTCACAGTCACCAGATCTCAACCCAGTTGAACACCTATGGGAGATTCTGGGCTGATGTGTCTCCACCACCATCATCAAAACACCATTAAAGGGAATATCGCCACATGGTGGTCCAACAGCTTACACTATTTTCTTATCTTTATCAGCCCTCAGGCCACCAGGAAGCCCCTGGAATTTTTCTTATGTGAATGAATGCTGAAAGAAGACATTGTTTTAGGTTTTAATGTGTCACCCAGTGTAAAATGTTACAAGATTCAGCTTCAATACAGAATTGTATTGTAACAAGCCGATACAGAATATATAAGATACTATCAGGCAGAGCGGTGATTTAATGCATGTGTTTTAGTCATTCATCCTTTTATACTGACCAGAAAAAAATGCCACCTAAAGCACTTTGAAGGTGGGAAAGCCAGAGTCTGTGCGGACTGGTCCATTTGAGGTAGGTAGGTAGGTACTTTATTAATCCCTCAATGAGGAACTTTCAGTGTTTCAGCAGCAATGGAGAACAAACAACAAACAAACACCATGAGAAACAAACACCATACACATATCTTGATAAACAAATTTTAGTACCTTTTGAGTGCTCTAACTTAGTCTAATGAAGCCTCATATTTTCTTCAGATAAACTTTGGAATACACTTTTACATGGGAAGACTGTATATTATTAACACCCCCACCCCCACTAAGTGTTTCAAGATAAACTTTTAAAAGTGTAAACCTACCTTTAACTATTTTAAAGCCACTAAAAATGAAACAAAAAAGTAAAACTGTGATTTAAGGGGCTTTGTTAATGGTGAAGATGGCGGCTCCATCGAAGAAAATTGTGTTACAGTGAATGGACAATAGAAATCCAAAGTTTATCAAAATTATGCATATGGGTTTGAACAAGCTTTAATTCACATTTATAAAAAGCACAAATTTCATATCGTATATTTGTTGTGGCAACTAACATGATGATTAAATAAGAACTGGCTGGAAGACTTGCCATTTTATTATAAGCTTGTATTTTTGTGCCTCACACTGCATTGAAGTTTTCACTTAGATTAGAGGTCACTGCTGAGCATGTGTGGTGTCACTGTGCCTGTGTGACCAGGGGAGGGGGCTCTGTGGTGCCAGCACCAACCTTTCTTTAACAAGTCTCTTATTCTCAACAGTTTCTACTTCTAAAACACACACTCACACATATAATTATTACCTGTCTGAATTGTGATTGATGACAAAATATGACATCTTTATTATAAATAGTGGTATAAAGAAATATACAAATAGTTGTTAGACATATCAATATTTACATGCAACATTTCATTGGACAAAATAAATAAAATGTAAACTAGCATATATATTTCAAATAAATTACTTGATTTACAGTGAGGCAGTAAAGACAGTTACATAGTTTGTGTCTGTTGTTGGAGGACAATCATAGAGTGTGTTTAACCCCAGTACTGTCTTGGAACTAGTGGGGTGCAGAAGTCTTTGCCACACATCTGTAATAAAAAAAAAAACAGCATGTCATTTATTGGCATTTTGTATAAATTGAAAAGTGTGATTTAAAGAGTGTCAGAAATAATGTCAATGAGTATCTGTCCACATACCTGACAGGAGGGCTGTGCTGTTGGGGGTAACTGCAGGATGGTATCCTGAGGAGCTTCACTGTGCTGTCTACTGTACTGATCCGCTCCAAAACTACAGTTTTGTGCATAGTGCAGCATGGTGTTCTGGCTTTGGCACTGGACCGGATACAAAGACTGGTTCAGGTTCTGGTTTTGCAGGTGGGCCTCCTGACCTCCCGTGGAGCTATGCTGAAAGTAGCTGAGGATGTCAGGTGAGGAGGTGTCACTAGCTGAGGTGTCTCCTTGCTCTCTCCTCTGAAACAGCATCTCCTCACTTATTCCCAGCTGGGCAGACAGGTAGGAGATATAGCGAATAGTGAGGCGGAGAGTCTCAATCTTTGTCAGAGTCTGTCCAGCAGGGGCCACTGAGGGTGGGAGGTAGGACCTGAGGTGATGCAGAGCCTTGGTCAGATCTCTCATCCTCAATTTCTCCTTCTCGCTGGCACTCTCTCTCTGCTTGCTGCGGATCCGAGTGGCTCGGCCCGACTTCCGGCCACGTCCAGGCAGGGAGCAGGGTGAGGACTTGAGGCTCTGGGAATATCCAGTCTTAGCTGCCTTTGGAGTGGACTGCGGTAGCTGCTGATAGGAAGGAGACAGCCTGGAGTCCACGGAGTGAACAGGAGATAGAGATTCTGGAGAGGAGATGCTGGAGAGGTCTGAGTCAGAGCACCACTGGTATTGCAGGCCATAGTCAACAAGAGGGGCCGAGGAGGTATCCATGTTCTGTGAAGAGACTCAGTGGTCTGACTGGAGAGACTAGGAGGTTATGAGTGCTGCCCAGCTCTGTTGCACTGCTTTATCAGTCCAGGCCAGGCCACAGAGGTGTGAAATGACACCTCTGCAGATTCTCACAAACCATCAGTGTTTAAAGCAGAGGCCACTGCCCCTGAACACACACACCCTGTCCCTATACCACCCCCTCTACTCCTGGCTCTCCCTGTTCTCTGTGGCTGGGAAAGTTCAGCTACAGGATTGGAAGTGTGAATTTTGACTCCTGCTCAAAACGATTAACGGTTTTTTGGATTTTTTTGTCCCAGAAGATCAGCAAACAAAACAATATAACTTGAAACTGTCAATAAATGACAGTATATACTGCAAACACAGTGCCTGTAAATTGAGTCCATGCCCGCAAAATCTTTCTTAACCCAGTTTTAACATATGACCTATAAGATCTATACAGTACATATATACAGTATACCTTAACAATTAACAAGTAACAGTTTCATACACAATATGATTCATTATTTAAATAATAATAATATAGCACTATGAAAATGGGCAATTTTGCATTATGATTACTTTTATTTGTAATACCTTTTACAAAGTAAAATCTGGAATGCTGGACATTTATTTAGTGTATGTTTGATTTGATTTGATTTGATTTGATTTGATTTATTCTTTCAAACATGTAAAGACAGTCAATTTGTCAACACACCTAATTTCACACATATCCACAAATCCATTATCAATTTGCTTATACCTAGTACATGCTTGAATGGAGTAGGAAGAAGTTAGACTTATCTAGTCCTACCCCCTAACATCATCTTACCATCATTGGTTTGCAAGCAGTATTACTACATAGATAATTTAGTTCTACACCACGCTAGTGATATACTAAAAAAATTATTACAGATTGTTAACATTCTTACAGAATTACATACTTTGATAATTATCTTCTACATCACACAAGTAGAATTATACACCACACTCACAATGTTACACCTGATTAATCGTTAAACCTGTTCTTGCATATATCTTGATTGACACATACCTTTATATTTATGTTTAAACTC